CCCCGGCACCAGCCCTTCTCTCCCCCCTGTGCCCACTCCTCCAGTAGCCCCACTCTGATCATGTGAGCTACCCCTTCTCATCCCCTCTCCTAACACCTCCTTCTACATACCTGCCATGCCTCTCTCCTCTGTTTCTGGTCCCTCCGCTGCAGGTGTCTGCCCTTCCCGGAGAGAGGGGGAAATGGCAGTGCTGTTTGTAGCCAGATCCCAACAGGTTTTCTGGGACATTTGCTGCCTTTATCGGGACACTGGGACAGAACACTTAAATCTAGGACTGTCCTGGAAAAAAAGGGACGTATGGTCACATAGACATGGGGCATAATAGAGGAGTTCAGCCCACATCTCCATAAATATGCGACAGGACAGGGGAATCTCTACTTGCACTCATCTCCAGGATGCTCTACATTATCCAAAACACTGCACCAACATTCTAAATGTTCATGAGAGAAAAGTGAGTATGTGGTTCTTTAACCAGTCAGGCTTGTGCCCCCCTGCCACTAGTCATTGTCACTGGAGACCCACTGCAGTGCATCTGCTGCTGGGTATCTAGGTAGCTAGCGCTGTCTACAGGGCATTTAGTAGAGGGATCTTCCATTGGGTTGATCCTTATCACGTGCCACTGGCATCTGGGGCTGTCTGTAATTTATGTAATGCATTTTTGGTGATTTGCAAGACTCATCCTTTGTAACACTGAAACAAATATGGAAATGAATAAACCCAGCTCCCCATGCATGCTGGCTCCCACAGAGCCACCTGCCTGCTCTGCTCCTGCCCTCCTCCCCTTGCTGCTGCCTCTGACACAGAGGCATCAGTGCTGGAGTTGGAGAAGAGCTGATATGTATGGGGAGCCAGCTTTCAAGCTGGCTTCCTGTGCATACCATCTCCCACTAAGATTTTTGCTCCTCCCCATGCTGCTTCCACCTGCCCTTCATGTGTATCTAAATGTGTAACTGCTGAAATTTTCTACCAAATTTACCAAAATGTTTCACCACAATAAACATATTTTAACAATATAGCAGTGAGTACAGCAAGTAAATATAGCAAATGAGTGAAGTACATTAAATAATTTCTTTAAAAAGCTTCTAGATTACTTTATAATTTATTCTCGGTTATCTCAACAATGAATTGTCTGTGTTAATTGTCTTTCTCGGTTGTCTCAACAATGAATTGTCTGTGTTAATTGTCTTATATGTTCTTAATGAACAATAAATTGACAGAATCATAAGGAGGCCTGAGCGTAGCCTTTTTGTTTTACATTGTTACAAGCTACCTCAACTTATATTCACCAATGCTGGACTCTGCGGCAAAGATTCTGACCTCATTTATTCTGGTAATACATCCAATGTATTTTAATGAATTAACTTTAATGAAATTTCTCCTAATTTAAACAAGTGTGAAATTGGACTCAGACTTCAAGTGTGTACATAACAGTGCAAGGTGGTTTGATTTTTTCAATTTAAAAGGGAAAGGGTCTGCATTATTCTTGTATTAAGCATATGTACTAGTACTGATATGGTTATGTGACATGAAGGGAATTATTGGGTTCATGGGTCAGCAATAATAACATTGCTAAATTCTCAAATGAGAAATTTTAATTCTTATTATCAGTTTGTTCTAAGTCCATTGTAGAGAAGGTTCTCTATACTAGTCCTGTCCATCATACTGAATGGTGGCTGTGGAAGAGCACCACACTTGGTCAAGTAACATTGGCAAAGGTATGTCTCTGTGACCAAAATTTATTATTATGAATTTATGTATATTTCAGTGTGCCCAGAGTTCCTTTTTAGAATTTGGACTCTATTGTGTTTGGATCTATGACAATTTGTCTCAGCTTCGGAGAGCTTACAGCAACAATGGCAACTAATACCAGTGAGTAGACCACATGGGTAACCCTCCTTCATCTCAGTGGACTGGCAAAATTGAAGTCCAGTTGGCGTGGGCAACCTGTGACCTGCAACCCATTTGTGCACCATCTCTGTTTCTCCTTCTCCCTCTCAGAGCTTGAATGCTGCGAATAAGCCGATGCACATTGCTCCAAAAGTGCTGGGAAAGAGGAGTTGGAGTAAGTAAGTGCAGGGCACCAGTGCCTTAGTGCACGAGAGGCATGGGAAAAGAAGGCAGAGAGGGATGCACAGGCCACAGGTGGAGGAGCCCTAATGTGCTGCATATGGCACGCAGGCTGCAGGTTGCTCACTTCTGGCTTACAGTCTAATAAAATTAATTTGATTAGAGTAATCAAAGCAAAGGCAGAGATAGTGAAAGCTTGTTTATGGTTCTCATTTCTAATCTTTGATGAGTTTAGCATACTTGAATTTACTTGTGCCTCAATCACAATAGCAGGATCAATAGATTAAAAAAACCCAGGTCTTAACTTATTCTGTATCTGAGTTTTGTTTTTGTAGGTAAATAAATTAAGTGAAAAAAAAATCCAGTTTCCCACTCACCCTATGGCTGTGATAGTTATTAATGTCCTTGATGGTATTGCTCAGAGCTTTTTTATCAGACTTCTCCACATTGACTATGATGCTTTGTCTCTTGCTTCTCTGTTATGAACTAGGATTGGCTGTCACTGAATGTGTTATGAAATCCTGTGCTTCTGTGTTCTAAATCCTGCCGGAAAGGGATAGCAAGTGGAGTTCCTCAAGGGTCTGTTTTGGGACCCGTACTGTTCAATATCTTCATCAATGATGTAGATATTGGGATAGAGAGTACGCTTATTAAGTTTGCAGATGATACCAAACTGGGTGGGGTTGCAACTTCTTTGGAGGATAGGGACATAATTCAAAATGACCTTAGCAAGTTAGAGAAATGGTCAGAGGTAAACAGGATGAAGTTTAATAAAGAGAAATGCAAAGTGCTCCACTTAAGAAGGAACAATCAGTTCCATACATACAAGACGGGAAGCGACTGTCTAGGAAGGAGCATGGCAGAAAGGGATCTAGGGGTCATAGTGGACCACAAGTTGAATATGAGTCAACAGTGTGATGCTGTTGCAAAAAAAGCAAATATGATTCTAGGTTGTATCAACAGGTGTGTGGTAAGCAAAACTCATGAAGTCATTCTGCCGCTCTACTCTGCACTAGTTAGGCCTCAGCTGGAGTACTGTGTCCAGTTCTGGGCGCCACATTTCAAGAAAGATGTGGAGAAATTGGAAAGGGTACAGAGAAGAGCAACAAGAATGATTAAAGGTCTAGAGAACATGACCTATGAAGCCAGGCTTCATGAACTGGGCTTGTTTAGTTTGGAAAAAAGAAGATTAAGGGGGGACATGATAGCGGTTTTCAAATATCTAAAAGGGTGTCACAAGGAGGAAGGAGAAAATTTGTTCCTCTTGGTTTCTGAGGACAGGACAAGGAGTAATGGGCTTAAAGTGCAGCAGGGGAGGTTTAGATTGGACATTAGGAAAAAATTCCTAACTGTCAGGGTGGTCAAATATTGGAATAAATTGCCAAGGGAGGTGGTGGAATCTCCCTCTCTGGAGA